TCGCTTGAGCCCAGGAGTTGGAGGTTGCTGTGAGCTGTGATGCCACAGCACTCTACCCAGGGGGACAGCTTGAGGCTCTGTCTAAAAAAAATAAATAAATAAATAAATAAACTTTAGTATATTATGAAACTGGAAACTGACTATGCCTGTTGCATTGTGCTAACATAGTTAACAATACTTATAAAGCAAGCATCACTTAAAATAATAGCTTCAGCACAGAGATTTTGCTCATGCAAGATACAATGAAATGAGAGCATCTAGATCCGATAATATTTTTATTTTAAATCTGTGCAATAAACCCTTCATATTTCATGTCTTGGAAAGAAAAGGTGTACTGTCTATAGCTAGACTCACTAAATTTACCTAATTCAATCCAACTTCATGACATTTATTTTGAACATTGTTGAAGATACCTATTCCCTATGTTCTGTTCACAAGAGTGCCCGAAACACATAACTCTTTGTAGCAAAGAAAATCTCAGTTATGACCTGAATAAAGTGTAAAACCTGCACTCAGTCAACAGTGTCAGTTCATCCAAAGCAATTGAAGTATTGCATGAAATTGTTCTATTAAGTTGAAGGCTAACTCATGCTGCCAATCAGTTATGGTTCTCCTTGAAAGAGGCAGATATTTGTACTTTGAAACATTAGAAGGGTCTAAGCATGCTACAACTTCAAGGATACATTCTTTCACAATTTCTACACTCTGAATGGTTTCCCTTTCACTACTTTAAAAATTGCATAAGTGACATTATTACCAGGTCTTATTGCTGGTTGGGAGAATTGTCTTTGCTTTTGCTTTTCATCTTTTAATTTCTGCAATACAACCTTTTGTTCCTCTCCTTCTCATTTAAAATATTTGTGGTCCTATGAGTGTTATAATGCTGGTGAGCATTGAATTTCTTTAATGTTGATATTGCAGTATCACAAAGCAAGCAAATCATTTTATATTTAGCAGAAATAAAATAATATTGCAATTCCCAATCCTCATTTTTAAAAAATCTGTTGTCTTCCTTAAGTGTTCCCTTGGTCTTCTTTGGCATGATGTACTGTTAAGCAGACAGAATTTAAAATACTGTCGAGCTGTGCAACTATACACAAATTCCACTTCAAATAGAAACACAGGGCTCGGCGCCTATAGCTCAACCGGCTAAGGCGCCAGCCACGTACACCTAAGGTGGTGGGTTCGATTCCCCAGCCCGGACCCGCCAAACAACAATGACGGCTGCAACCAAAAAATAGCCGGGCGTTGTGGCGGGCGCCTGTGGTCCCAGCTACTTGGGAGGCGGAGGCAGGAGACTCGCTTGAGCCCAGGAGTTGGAGGTTGCTGTGAGCTGTAATGCCATGGCACTCTGCCCAGGGGGACAGCTTGGGGCTTTTTCTCAAAAAAAAAAAAAAAAAAAAAAAAAAACAAATAGAAACACAGACCACTATTGTCAAAAACTGATAAGGGCCCACAGAAACTCTCGCTAACCAGCCTCATGTGTTAGTGGCACCAGTTAGGCAGGGGAAGTTAGAACTAACTTATGAGCGTAGCAGCTGTTAATTCAGCCCTTATGCTTACCAATGTTCTAATTATACCAGTCAATCTGGGAGGGTTATTTCATGAGATTTATATTATTCTTCTGTATTTTAAGTGTGTTCATTTTTTAAATAAAATAAAAATATAAAAGTTGAATAAAAATGTGTGGATGAAAGTCAAAGAATGTATCTTATAAAATTTGAATTCAGTCAAGAGGCCATACTTAAGGACCTAAAGGGATACATATGGTCTTAAGCTGCAGGTTCCTCACTCCCATATATGGCCTAGTATATGGCCAATTTATTTTTATTTTTATTTTTTTTGCAAGTTTTGACCAGGGCCAGGTTTAAACCTGCTACCTCCAGTATATGGGGCTGGCACCCTACTTCTTTGAGCCACAAGTGCTGCCTTATATGGCCAATTTTGGTAAATACCTAATGTGTGCTTAAGAAAAAAGGATGATGGCCTGCCAAGAGTGGTGGGTTCAAACTCAGCCCTGGCCAAACTGCAACAAAAAAATAGCCAAGCATTGTGGCAGGCACCTGTAGTCCCAGCTACTCAGGAGTCTGAGGCAAGAAAATTGCCTAGGCCCAGGAGTTAGAGGTTGCTGTGACCTGTGTGACACCATGGCACTCTACTGAGGGCAGTAAAGTGAAACTCTGTCTCTACCAAAAAAAAAAAGGAAAAAAGGATGATATATGTAAATTGATTGAAAAGTAAGCAGCTGGTATACACCTAATAATTGGAGAAGACAGCAAAATATTCACTGATTTTGAGAATCATAACATCACACTCAAATAAGCATTTTAAGCCAGGCACAGGGACTCACGCCTGTAATCCAAGCACTCTGGGAGGCCAAGGCAGGTGGATTGCTTGACCTCAGGAGTTCGAGACCAGACTGAGCAAAAGTGAGGACCTGTCTGTACTAAAAATAGAAAAACTAGCCAGGCACTCTACGGAAGGCAACATAGTGAGACTCTGTCTCAAAAAAATTAAAAAATAAATAAAATCTAAAAAACACATCTACATAATTCATAGTTAGAGAACAAATCATATGGACAGTCAAAAACACTTAGAGTAAACAATAATGAAAACATGACATATAAGAATTCTGGGAAGATGGCTGACTAGTAGCAATCCTCGGCACAGGCTCCTGAGCAGAGAAAGAAAAACTGGATGGAATCGGACTCTATGAAGCCAAAGACAGGGAGCTGAGCCAAGAAAGAAATTTGGCAAGCTGTAACTCCAAGGAAGAGCATTCAAGAAAACAAACTACAGGCTCAGCACCTGTGGCTCAAGTGACTAAGGCACCAGCCACATACACCTGAGCTGGTGGGTTCAAATTCAGCCCAGGCCTGCCAAACAATGATGGCTGCAACCAAAAAAAAGCCAGGCCTTGTGGCAGGCACCTGTAGTCCCAGCTACATGGGAGGCAGAGGCAGGAGACTCACTTGAGCCCAGGAGTTGGAAGTTGCTGTAAGCTATGATGCCACAGCACTCTACCCAGGGTGACAGCTTGAGGCTCTGTCTCAAAAAAAAAAAAAAGAAAAGAAAAGAAAAGAAAACGAACTACAGGTACAAAGCTTATCCACAAGAGGATGGGAGACCCCTCCCCCAAGCAAGAGGCCTGCCACAGATAGTCTGCAAATGAGCAGGGAACAAAAGACCTCTCATTTTACCTTGCTCAAGAGAGCCGCTAAACTCCAGGTCTCTTTCTCCAGGGAGGTCCCACTTATGAACCTAGACACCACCCTGCCAGGCATAAAATTGAACAGATATTTTCCTCCACAAGTCCAAACTCCCAGTCCACCCTTTCCCCTTGCATGGTGTCCTGAAGTTCTTCCCCCTGCAGAGCACAGAGTGTTTGGTCTTGTCCTGAAAGAACTGGGCATAGTGTGGACTGCCAACCAGTAGGATGGAATCTGTGACTAAAGGGAAAGAAAGAGGATGTGGGAAGAAAGGGACACTAGGTGGGAGGAAGAACAGTCCCCTGGTTATGACTATGCCTAGCCAGTGGTAGTGTGGACTGCCAACCAGCAGGATGGAATCTGTGACTAAAGGGGAAGAAAGAGGATGTGGGAAGAAAGGGACACTAGGTGGGAGGAAGAACAGTCCCTTGGTTATGACTAAGCCTAGCCAGTGATAGTGTTGACCCTCAGTTCGAGCGTCTCTGGCAGGATA